TGAAATGCCAGGCTCCGTGGGGAACACAGCAATCACCACGGCTGTGAGAGGCACACTCATATCCTCCCTGAACTCCAGCAGTCATAGGGACATCCCGTTCCCCAGCCTGGCTTTGATTAGCTCACATTTCTTACCAGGCGTAAAGCAGGGATGTTGCAAGAATTCGGTCCTTTGATTCATCTTTTTCTTTCTCAGCTCAAGACTGCATCACTCTTTGCATGTGGTTAAGTCTGACTTTTCAGAAGCCAATCTCCTAACTTGGTACGTGGGGTAAAAGGCAAGCCACAAGGACACCATGGGGTGTCCCCAGCAAGGGATAAGCCCCCCGGGAGCCAACCCAGACCCCTGGATGTACCAGAAGACCCAGCACAATAAGCAGTGACAACAGGACCCGCTCACAGAAGGGAATTATACTGGTGAGAAATGTACGTTTTCCAAAGTTCTATTTCCCAGAAGCCACCAGCACAGTCTTGTCACGGAAGAAAGGACAGGGGCCTTCTCAGGAGTGAGGCTGCAGCTTCAACCATGGCAGTTGCCCTTTTCAAACCACTGAATGGAACGTCCAAAAATAACTGAATTCTGTAATCTGAGAAGTCCTGATTCATTACATTTCATTTCATTCATTCACCCCTTGCTTCACTCTAGCTTTTTGTTACCCATTCCTTCCCAAATAGCATTAAAAAAAAAAAACATATTTTGAGGGCTCAGAGAAATAAAATTCAGGGAGGTTCTGGTCCAAGCAGAAGGATCAATCTCAAAGAGCCAAACCACCATTGAACTAACTCAGGTGACCTTGGCCCACTCTCAACACAGTTGGTTAATGGAGTAAACACCTATCCCTGCTCGTCCTCAAATTAAGAAAGTGATTCCTTGCTTGAGTACCCAGTGCTTGCAAAGATTTCAGGGAATGAGCCTGTGAAGAGTGGATGGCTGAGCTTCCTCCTGGGGAAGGAACTTTCAGAAAGAACTCGGAACAACCAGGTCAGACGCTGGGCTGCCCTGGGCTGTGCTAGCCCCTCGCCATCGCTCAGATCTTTGGGCAGCACCAGCAATTTGGCCTATTGTAATTTGGAGCATTGGGATTTAGTTCTAAAAAACAAAACAAAAAAACAAAGGAACCATTCTGGGTCACTGGGATACCACAGTCTCATGACCTCTTGAAGCAAACTCACCCACCCTGGCCACTGTGAGCAGAGGATTCCAGAGCCACAGTAGAAGGACCGAGAAAATGCAGGGCCAGGCCTAAGCACTGGGAGAGGGCAGAGGGAAACAGCTCAATCACTGTAGGTGGGAGAGGAGAGCTGTTACTACACAACTCATGGGCCTCAAGGGCATGGGGCGGGTCTAGCAGAGGGCAAGAAAGGGTGTAGACAAAATACAGACTCTGGAGTCAAATGAACCTGGGTTTGAACCTGGCTCTGCCACTTCCTAGCTGGGTGACCTCGACCAAGTTACTTAGTCTCTCTGGGCTCTATATTAATTCTTAGAAAAGGAAATACTGTTACAGGTCCACGATCCCTCATGCACAATTCCAAACTCCAGGAAAAGCTCTGAAAACCAAGTTTTGTCATAACTTATTTGGCAGCAAAACCTGACATGAAGCAGCATGAGGTTCTTCTTAGCCTTTATTTTCCCCCCACTTAATATAACCAACTCTTTTTAAGATTTATGGCAGAAATCGGATTTCATGAGGGGTGCTGCCCCACAGCCCACCTCGGTGTGTTACATAACAGTATATGCATTGCATTGCTTTTCTAAATAACAGAATATACATTTTTATGGATTTTCTAAAATAAAATAAGAAATCTGAATATATCTGGCTTCAAGGGTTTGGGTAATTTGTGTTAAATCTCAGAGACCTATTGTGGGATTAAACAGAAAATGTGTGTGAAATAACTAGCATAGGTCACAGCTTTAAGGTCTTGGTAAGTCACAGCCATGATTAGGCTGTGTCACCAGAGAATGTCCAGGAAATACAGCAGCAGACATACCCCCTCACTGGGATATTACACGTGGAACGAGTCACCAAGCTCTGCTTCGTGAATATTGTCCTGACATCAACTTTTTTTTTCCTCTCTAGGACTTTTCCTTTGATATTTGAAGATAACAAAGGGGAAAGAAAAGAGACCCAGCCAATAATCTTTATAATAGAGTAACAATCATCACATGTGCATTGTAATTCAAACTGATAATAGAAGTTCAAACTCCTTGGAAATTTTATTTTTATAATATATATATCACTATCACATCTTTCCACATATTAAAAAAGATGGACGCTCTAAGTTATGGGACTCAATACCACACCTCTCCTTTACCACGCTCAATAATGTCCCCCTTATCTGGCAACTTCTCTGACTTGGTAGATCAAATTAACATCTGGCATGAAAACAGAAACTATTTCAAAAACTAAACTTAAAACACACCCCTAAACCAGTGGTCAACAAACTCATTAGTCAACAGAGCCAAATATCAACAGTACGACGATTGAAATTTCTTTTGAGAGCCAAATTTTTTAAACTTAAACTATATAGGTAGGTACATTGTTATTAACTTAATTAGGGTACTCCTAAGGCTTAGGAAGAGCCACACTCAAGGGGCCAAAGAGCCGCATGTGGCTCGAGAGCAGCAGTTTGCCGACCACGGCCCTAAACTATTCACCGAGGTAACCGGGTTTCTCTGTCATGTCTAGAAGTTGGAAGTGAAACCAGGAAACCTAATAATAGACTACAGCACTAACGTGAGAACTGTCTGCTGACACCCTAAATTTGAAAAGATGTTTGAAAAGGTCTACACCGTTAACTTCAATACAATGTCTGGGTTGTCCTCCCAGACTCCCTCCTCAAGGGAGTCTTCCAGCAGTGAGTGGGTTACACCTTCAAATCAGGCTTGCACACCTGCCGGAGCACTTCCTTTACGCTCTACTTCTAAGTACCATGCACAGGAGGCGCACGTGTGTTCCTTCTTGGGAGCATGGCCTCTCACCTAACACATGTCATTTGTCGAGTTGGCGGCATGACTTCAGAAGTGCTCACTCAGAGGAAGAGCTCAACAGAAGCCGGTGGAATGAACTCACTAAAAAGCAGGAAGACCTCGAGTCCATCAGTTCATGCATGAAGGCAGGACAGCTTGGAGCTGTGTGGAGATAATTACCCTTCTGAAAGTCCTCCTTGGCTTCCGACCGGCCAAGGGATAAAATATAATATCTAAAACCTAAATGCTGTCTGGCTCCAATCAATTTTGCTTTGTTTTAGATTTCTTCCTCCAACCCACCCAGACCTTCTAGAAACACCTCAAATGTGCCGTGTTCTCTATTCCTTTGGGGCCTCGATAGGTGCTTTTCCTACAGAAATTGTTCCTGGAATAATTTCCTGCACCCCCTGAACCTGAGTTCTCCCTCAGCTCAAAGTGGAGGTTTCCCAAGAAACTTCTCTCCAGTGAGGTGGTCTTCCGTGTTGTGTGCTCCCAAGGGTGTCCGTGCTTCTCTGCCATGAAATTTCCACCTCTGTTTGGGGTTGTTTTTCTTCCTGACTAAGTTCCCCAAAGGCAGGAACTGCCTTGTTCACCTCTGTATGAACAAATGTAACACAAACCCTATTTATGTAGCACTTCTTCCTTCCTTTAAACAGCACATCAGAACCAGTAAGATAAAACTTCCAGATGTTTGTTCTAATAATTGTTCTTTGGAAATGACTATATCCTTTTAAAAATAGACACCTTATCATCCTCCATCTTTGAAAGAGGGAAACTAAAAGCAAAAACAGAGATTTCTCCCAAATCGTTCAGAATAAAAAAGGTATTTAAACTTGGGAACTTTTCTTTAGGTTGAAAATTATTAACAAAAAGAGTTCCCTTGCATCATTGTAGATCTGATAGAAGCCAAGTGTCAAGATAGGATTAAGAGTTGGAAGGACTATTAGAAGAGGTCAATGCGGGATAAAAGCAGACATATATAATACTTTCAACAACAAAGATTTAAAATACACATTAGGGTAATACTTCTAAATTATTTCTGGTGAAGAAACAGTTTTCTCCTCCTCAGTCTATTTCGGGCCAATACTTTTTAAAACTACAAAGTCCCACACTTGGATTTGAGGACAATATCAAATTGCTCCAAGAGTTTCCAGAACTTACTCTCACTGTCTGTATTTACATAAGCACAGTCCCATAACAAACACCTCACAGACTAGCTAAGGCCACACTGTCTGCAGCATCTCCCCATAATAGGATGTGTGGGTCTCCAATTGTCATCATATCCAAATGGGAAATAAAAGCTACTGGTCTACATTGTTACTCATAATGGTAGCAATAATAATTACCATATCATTAGCATCAAACATCTACACAAGTATTCAAGAAAGGGACTGCCCAGGCAATGAGAGGGGATGAAAGACCTGCCTCTTTATCTAGCAACTCAGCTTCTCTAAATGGACCATAGAACATAAATAGATGAGACCACCCCTAATTCCAAAGTAATTGCTTTGTGAGGATGAAAAGCAAAGCCAATCATATAGAAGACGGACAAAAGCATCTTCTCTGGGTCACTCTGCAACACTAAGTCACGACTGTCGTTGTTGGAAAGGGACCTCGCATCAGAAGGGGTTAGTAGAGCACATCCCCCAAATCAGATGGGTTGATTTAACTGCAGACACCAAGGGTCAAGCTGTTGACTCCAACGGTCCACATGGGCCCCACCCAGTCACTCCCATTGCCAAGAAGCAGCCCCTTCAAATAAAAGAGAACAATCCTCTGCACTAAACCCAGACCAGAGCAGAATAATGAGACAGACCGACTGCATTCCATTCCTCTGGGGAATGGCTCACACCATCCAGGCTCAGGGTTCCTCCAGAGGACACTCCCATAGCATGAACCAAACTCGGAAGTCCCCGTGCTTGTGTAGCCTGGACACTTATTCCAGTCACGCACAGAGGAGAATCCACGTAGATACCTGCAAGCTGAAATCAATCGGTAACACCTGCCTCTGCGTGCGGCGCTTCACTTACCGGGAGCGGTTTTGTAGCACGATGTTCGGGAGGGCAGCGACAAAGCGTTCTTTGCCCTGGAACTCTGGGTGCTCTGCAAGACTTGTCTCTGCCTCTTCAGCTCCTCTTCCCTCTCCTGGGCTGCTCGGATCTCTTCCTCGATCATGGACAAAGTCCGCTGCTTCCTTGACCTCAGCTTGAAGGGACCCACCATCACGTCAGACTCTTGAGTGGCCAGGAGCGAGGCTGTGCTTCTCAGCTCCGCGGCCTCCGAGTACTTGCTGAAATAGCTCCCTTCTGGCCTGGTCTCCTCCATGTTTATCGGGCCACTGGGCTGCACCGCGGGCGGTGGGGAGGAGGGTCCCCGTTCCCTGAGCACCCTGTCTTCGGCAGGAAGGATCTTTGGTAATACATCCCTTTTCTCTTGAACAGGAGAGGACACCTGAGGTGGTTCGAACATGCTCTGAGGCTTCTCGGAGCGAGGAGCCCCAGTCCCGGCTTCCTCCAGAGTTGCTTTGGGTCTCTGTTGTTCTGCTCCACCCTTGCTGGTTCCAGACCCAGCTCTATCCACTTGCTCGGCTATGGCTTGTTGAATGGCATTTTGAACCAGGAGACCAGCCTGGTATTCCAAGGGGTCATCAACCGACGGAGAGTCTCCCAGCGTGGACGAAGGGGAGTAGAAACCATGATCACTAAAGGACTTGGAGACGCCTTCTCCTCGGCCTTCTGAGGGGTTGTCAGTTTGGGGAGTCTGGGGCAGAGAAAAATCAGCCAGTGAATTTTCCTGGAGGGCGTTGGCTGTTTCGTTGGAGGCCCCGCTGTCGCTGATGTTGTCCATGCTGAAATCATTGGACAGGGTCTCCAGGACAGTGGTGTCCTGGGACCTCACTGACAACTCATCCAAACCAGAGTCAAGCTCCTCCTGGGTCAGAGAGACATTGACAGACCTGGAAAACTGATCCAAAAGCCCAGGGTCGTCATCCTTGACCACGGTGAGGACGGCCCTGGCACTTGTGAACTCTCCGTCCTCTGCCCACAGTTTGGACAGGGGCCCGCGTTTGGAGGGCTCACTGTAGGGCCCTTCCTTCCCCTGAGGAGCCGTGCTGCCCTGGCCTCCTCCCGGAGACGGGCTCTCCAGGGCACAGGGGGCTTTCTGCCCCTTGGCCGCCGATGTGCCACCGTCTTCTGCAGGACCCCCGAGGGAAGCTGGTCTCGAGATGGTCAGTGGCTTGTCTGAGTTGATCGAACCCAGAGGCCTATAGAAGGGCTTGATGGAGAAGAGCCTGGGGTTACTCTGGCCCTTGGCCAATGGTTGCCTGGAATTCTCCATGAGCTGGAACTGTTTGCGAGCAGCAGAGAAATCGATCTGCTCTGTGACGATGTCCTCCTTCGTCTTTGCGGTCATGCCGGAAGGTTCCCGAGCGGAGGCGGGGGCCGTGCAGAGCTGCGGCAGGGGCTGCTGCTGCAGCAGCAGCTGCTCCTGCTGCGCCCGGCGCTCCTTGCGCTCCTTGTACTTTTTGTGTGACTCCAGATGTTCCTCGTCCAGCTGCTCCTCGATGGATTTTTCCTGGGGCGGATTCCACCATTTGGCCGCGATGCCAGGATTCTTCTTCATGGCCTGACTCCGGATGAGTTCTCGCCTTTCCTTCTCCAGCTCCAGGATCTCTTCCGTAGGCCTCACTTTTCGGACACAGTATTGTTCTTTCTCGTCGTCCTCAAAGAGCTTGGAGGGCTTCTTGTCCTCGTGGAAGGCACGCAGCTCAAACTTGGCTTCCTTCTTCAGTGTGGTGAGCGTGAACTCCCCATCTCGGGACGAGCACCACGAGCTGGTGGAGGAGCTGGGGCTCACGGGTGCCTGCAGGCTGTCCCCCAGCAGATCTCGGGGCTGGTCAGGGGAGTGGCCGTTGGCTCTGTCACCCTCCGCCATGGTGTCAGAGTTGCTTTTACTGAGCTCAATGTGAGGCGGCACCTGCCTGCCGGCTGCTCTCTCAGTGGGTTCTGGCGGGACGGCGGTGTGGGCAGGTGGGCTCGGGCTGCCCACCAGGACGGCTGCGCCAGGCTCCGGGGAGGATGTGCCGTTGTAAGTTCCGTCCGCAGATGAATCGCAGCAGTTGGCCTCCAGCACCTCGTCTAGATATCGGATCTCACTGGCCACATCATTATCCAGAGATTCATGGTGATCAGCGAGGAGGCCATTGTGGGGGGGCGAGTAGAAAGGGGAGGGGTGGTCCATGGAATGTGGAGCAGAGGTGATTCCAGGAACACTTTTACATTCTGCAACAGAGACCTCAATTTCCATGTTTTTGTGATTTGAGGGAAGGGGGCTGATCACAGCATCCAGGGGGTTGGCACTACAGTTGTCCCTCTCGTGTTTTAGCCAGATATCATCCTCGGAGAGCTGGGGAGGCTTCTGGAATAAAGAGGAAATGAAAGACAGGGTTAGACACCACATCTCTTATGGATGTGACGACTGAGAAATTAACTAGTAACTAATAGGAAGGGACACTGAAACAACAATGACAAGTCCTTTTGAATGGAGATTTCCTTCCAACAAGGCTCCACATGCTCATGTGGTGGTGGTGACGGTACCTACCCCTGTCCATTTCACAGATTCCGTTTTGTTTACCAGGCGTCCAGAGAATGTTCAATCTATGCTAGGCCCATTTTTGTTTTTTAATTTAAAAGTAAATTAGGGCCTGGCCAGCGTGGTTCAGTGGTTGAGTGTCAACCCATGAGCCAAGAGGTCCCCAGTTCAATTCCTGCTCAGGGCACATGCCCAGGTTGTGGGCTCCATCCCCAGTGTGCAGCGTGCAAGAGGCAGCCGATTGATGTCTCTCTCTCATTGATGTTTCTACCTCTCTAGTCCTCTCCCTTCCCCTCTCTCTCTAAAATCAATAAAAACTTACTTGAAAAATAAAAACTTACATAAATTTAAGTTTAAAAAAAAGTAAATTAGGACTCAGATCATTTGAAGACACACTCAAATATCTTCTAAAGTACAAGACATTATATAGCAATTGTACCAGTCTTGCAAAATAGTCACAGCAAATTATTGCACAAATGTAACAGCAGTATTTGTGTGTCCCCAACTGTAAAAAGAAAGTCCTCCTACATGAACAAACCTTGAAAACATATGATTCTCTGCCAAATGCAATACAATCGTTCTAGTCGGGCGGAGTAAAAACCTTGCCCACACTGATCTCCCGTAGACAACAGTGCCTGAGCCCTCCTCCACCGCATTTCCCAAGAACACTTGTTTGGCTCCTCACGTCAGCATGCCTCTTGGTCCTGGACGCCCCACAGTTCGGTGTTTGACAGAGGATGAGCAGATGCTCTGACAGCTTTCTTAACGTTAGAACTTAAAAATTACAACAGTTCTTTCCAAGGCATACTTTCTGAACTAGCAACAACTGTTCCAATGCAAAATTCCACAGCACATTTTTGCAGTGTCAAAAGACTACCTTCGCCTTTCAGTCACTAAGGTGCAGCCCTCACAGCGTGGCGCATGATACCTGCCTTCCCAGAATAGCTGTCAGCTGGTCAGGATGTCTACTCTACCATTTACTTTAAAATACTTGGGCAGAGACAATGCCATGCAGGTGTGTGTGTGTGTGTGTGTGTGTGTGTGTGTGTGTATGTGTGTGTGTGTGTGTCTGAAATTAGTTTAAATTCTATCCCAAATAGACTTCCCAAATCATGAAGTCTATTCGCTAGGTCTTCTGTGATGTATCCCACGGAGACTTTTACGATGCTAATATTGGGTAAGGCCAAAGTTTGCAGTCCCTGTGTAATGTGAGGTGGTTCTTTTCCAACACATTTAAAAGTCTATATTGAGACACTGGAGGGTGTGAACGGGATAGAGGCTCTCCTTTCTGCCAGTTACTTGCGCCCCGCCTCTTCCTCTTCTTTCCATAAGACATCCTGACCAGCTGACAGCTATTCTGGGAAGACAGGTATCAATTTAGAAAGTCCTTCCAGACCCTTCCATCCTCTTCAGGGAGCAGCAGCTCCAAGCTCTAAACCCTGATCAGGGTAGAAATACTTCCAAGAAACAAACAGCTCTGCAGTACTGATTCACAATCATGCACCAGAGGTCCCAGAGCCCAACAAAAGAGCAAATTCCTGAGTTCTGTTCTCGGCAGGAAGAATCCACCTTCATGCAAGATAGCCTGGTGTGATTAAAGCCACCGGTGACTACACAGGTAAATGAAATGGGCTAGAAATCCCACAGTCCGAATTTGGCAGGAGTCTGGGCTGACATCATTAAATACTGTCTTGTTTAAACCAACAAATGCTTATTGCTCCCTTTGAAGATCAGAAAGACCAGAATTTTCTCTGTGCTTCAGATAATGTGAACCTGATTCCAGATTCAGAGAAAATACATATTCAATAAATGGACTGGAAAATCCTTTCTGGAATAAACTATGCCCCAATCAAAACAAAACAAAAACAAGAAGACATGAAAGAACCACCAAACTGGACTTTTTCAAAGGTCAGAGAAAACCTAGGGTGGTAAGGGACCCGTGGGAAATCACTGGCCGCATGATACCTACCTTCCCAGAATAGCTGTCAGCTGGTCAGGATGTCTACTCTACCATTTACTTTAAAATACTTGGGCAGAGACAATGCCGTGTAGCTGTGTGTGTGTGTGTGTGTGTGTGTGTGTGTGTGTCTGAACTTAGTTTAAATTCTATCCCAGGAGCAGACAGCCATCCTCATCGGGAATATACGTGCCAACAGTGGTCAAGCAGGATCTAATCTGGAATTCCATGTTCCCCAGGAGGCGGCTTCCTTCCTCCAGCAGTTGAGCTCTCCTAAACTCCCACAGGACCCCCTGAGGCTTTGCTAATTGGCATAATTAAGGTGAGAAATGAATTTCCATTTGTGAAATTAATGGCTTGTCAATTAGCATAATGAAATGTTAGAAACGATGGTGTTCAAATGTGTGGATTGGACATATTTTCCAACCTTCTATGAGTAGCGTCCATAAACGGAGTGAGCACTTTGGCCTGTACACCCTTAGGAGTGGTGCATAAAGTCTGAGAACTAAACAGCCCCAGGCCCAGCCTTTGGTTCAGAGTTCGCTGGCTGTTTAACACCCAGTATGGAGGAACAATCCTGCCACATCTATCTTCATGCAAGGTGTGGTTACAGCATCTAGAATCTACCAGAGCTGAGACTTCTTTGAGGTTAGAGACAGTAGTTTTATATGTACTTTTACAAATGTGTATTTAATAAATATCTGCATGAGCGCCAGAATTTGATCTAATACATACCTATTCTTATTCCTGTTGCCTGCTTCCCCATGTAAGGTTTGTCCTTCTACCCAATATAAGCAGCTGGCTTTTGGGGGGAAGCGGCGCAGAGCAGATATTCGAAGTAACCTGCTGCTCTCCATACTGCCGGCATTATTGGAATAAACGTTCATACGTGATCAACCCTGTCTCTGCTTAATTGGCTCAAGTAGTGACAGGCAGCCCAGACCCTTTGATTGTCCTGTTTCACTTTTACTATAACCTGGTAGCTAAAGCTGCCATTGCTGACCCTAATGTGTTTGTTTAAAAATTATGTAAAGCGCCTAGCCTGCGTGGTTCAGTGGCTGAGCGTCAACCCATAAACCAAGAGGTCCCCAGTTCAATTCCTGGTCAGGACACATGCCCAGGTTATGGGCTTGATCCCCAGTAGGGGGAGTGCAGGAGGCAGCCTATCAATGATTCTCTCTCATCATTGATGTTTCTTTCTCTCTCCCTTTTCCTTCCTCTCTCTGAAATCAATAATAACTTTAAAAATTCTACTTAAACAAAACAAACATTAAAATAAGAGATTTAGAGACGTCCAGGATTTTTCCCAGGATCGCCTGGCCAGTAAGTGGCACAGCCAGGATCTGAAGGCCAGTCCTTCCTAGCCTAGTGCTTCCAGAGGTATGCTCAGTGACGGGGGGACTTGACCCTCTGGACTGGCCTTTGAGGCAGGTCCCCCTTGCTCTGATGACAAAATATTAAAATCCCAGTCATCGCAACAGATACCGTGGAAAAAGGCTGGGACTCCTTCCCTGTATCACAGAGTCCACGGCACAGGTGAGATTCTAGAAGCCTGTTTAGTTTGCACAGAAAATTCATCAGGTCCCGACACCTGGCCAGCTGGGGCGGTGGCCAGCAGGGTGCTCTTCCCCCACAGGGTTCCCGGGGGCCTACCGCTGGGTGCATCAGGACAGAAAGAAGAATGCATTTTCCTTCGCAGATCTGGCTGGGCCACCAGGGGACACCAGGAAGATGTCCTTCACTATAAGGACAAGCATGAAGCTGAAGCTTCTACTCATGCCTGCTGTGTTCTCAGCTTCCCAACTTGCCCATCACATGCTGGCTGTAACCTCTTAACAATGTCTGCTACCAACTTCGACCTCTTTGGCTCCTGCAGTGTGACCCAAATTATTCAAACATCAGGCGCTCTCTGTGCAACCAGGTTTCCACACTCTGAATAACCCAGATTACTTCCTCCTACGGCACAATATTTAAATTAAAAACGCTTTCCCCCAGGTAATAGGTGACCTGATCCTTTCATCCAGTTATTTTTAAGTTCCACCAAAAATACACTCACTCTTGGCCTGGGAACAGAGACGTGGCTGTGAAATAAAACTTCCTCACAGCTGTGAAGTCAGACAGTGTCTCTATCCCTTCTTCCCTCCCTCTTTTTCCTAAGTTGGGTTTTTAGTACACAGAGCAACACTGCTTTAGGCAAAAAACTCATTCTACTGGCTATACGAGGCAGGCTTTAGAATGGTACTGACAGGACTGAAGTTCCATCACCAAGGCAATGGGAGGAGGGGGTACAACCTGGGTGATGGATGATGCTCAGACACCTGCTTGCAAGATGCCTACTTAGGTCTGCTGAACCTCAATAGCCTTGAGGGAAGCAGGGTAGAGCTGCAAAGGCAGGAGGTCCTCACACCCAGGGAACCTGAGGAATGTGGGAGGGGAGCACAGAAGCTACAGAGGTCAAAGTGCATTCCTGCAAGGATAAGCCAGCAGGAGAACGTGCAGAGTGACAAGCCCTGTGCCTGGGGCCACAGGAGGTCCTGGGAGTCCTGGGAGGTTCCGGGGCTCTGAGGTGGTCCCCTCTTTGCAGCAAGGAGCTTACTGCCTTGAGGAAGCGAGTGCCAATTCACATCAAGAGAGCAAGCCGCAGAGGGCACAGGAAGCATTGTATAGTAACGGGAAAGAAAATTCCAACCCTGTGCCATGGTGCCAGTTGTGCAGGCTGAGAGGAGTTTATGAAGGAGCTGGGAGCGCCAGTGGTCCTCGGCAGCTGGCCTGCAGCAGCTCTGCCCCCCATCACGGCCCCTGCTGAAGACTGCAGGCTGGGGTGGGCTGGGGCGGGCTGGGGAAGGAGCTGGGAGTCTGAGTGGGCCCC